AGCCAAAAGGAAAGAGACCACTGGGAAGACCAAGGCATAGGTGGCTGGACAATATTAAAATGGATAGAGAGATAGGATGGGATGGTATGGATTTGATTGATCTGGCTTAGGATAGGGACCAGTGGAGGGCTCTTGTGAACACGGTAATGTACCTTCGGGTTCCATAAAATGTTGGGAAATTCTTGAGTAGCTGCAGACTTGGCTTCTCCTCAAGAAGGGCTCAGTTCCATAAGTAAGCAAGCAATCAAATTCTGATTTGTTACTGTTGTTATCGAATATTTTAACTACATCACATTTTTAAAGGATCTGTTAGCTACCTTTACGTCATGATTTTGTCCTGCATTCTGGTGAACAGACAGCAACACATGCTTAGTTTTCTCTGTGTCTACTTCTAGACCAATTTCCTCACTATCAACAGTTAAAGTTTGTGTTTTCTCTTTATGGTATCTATGCTATCTCCCATTAGATTCACATCAGCAGCATAGACTAACAGCAGCTGATGTGTCCCATTTAATTTGAATCCCACCTGGTTTTCCTGGACCTTCCTAATGGCATATTCTAGAGCAAAGATGAAAAGAAGTGGTGATAACGCATCTCCTTGCTTTAGACCATTTTGGATAGGAAACGTAACAGACATGTTTACCTAAATGGACTCCTAATCAGCCTAAAAATTGAAGGGATACCTGTACATTATAAACTCAGTAGGTCAGACAGATCTGTAATGCAACAGTTCACTGAGCACCAAATCCATTACGTAAAATCCTTTAGAAGCTACTTGTCATCCAGCTGGTGAATGAATTCCCCACTTTCTCTGAAACCTAAAGGCTCAGTGCCATGATGACATACGACCCACAAGGTCCCTATTCTGAGCACAGGTCACCAATAAACCAGTAACGCCATGGTAGTATAACTTGCGGTTCAACACTGTTACTCGTAACACCAAAGTCGAACACTAGACACTATCCGTAGCCATTTCCACCCCACTTCCATCCCAATCTCTAGGGGACTGGTTTTCCAAAACACTTCCCCTCCAAAAATCAGACGAGGATAACTTTAGACATACTTAATTGTTTATTGATGATGATGTGTTTATCTTTGGAATTTTAATTGATGTTTTTTTGTTTGTTACTGATATCTGGCAGGGTTAGACTCTCTAACCCCCTAATAATAAGCTGCTAATGAGTGTGAGCAACGACTTAACAAGGCTGGCAGAAACTACAGTACATCACTAGCAGGCACAGCTATTACTTGTGTATTCATGAATTCCACTTTATTGAATGTCATTGTCTTAAACACAATACCTTCACTCTTGGCTACAGCCTTCCTCAGAATTCAATCTGACAAGTGTTATCAGAAAATATGGATTCACGCTTTTATGAAAACTGATGTTTACTTTGGTCTAATTTAAAATTCAAGTAATTTCTTTAAATAGAAACCACCAAAATCCATTCGTAGTAAATGATTACAAACTCTTATGAACTGTATGTAAAAACTATATATGTCGAGGGAGGTTTATACTCTGTGCAGCTGCCCAGATCTCAGATCACATGATAATACACAAAAACAAGAATTATCAGTATCACAGACATTACTCCGGTACCTAAAGCAAAGAAATGTTGGTTTAAAGACTGCAGTATTCTGGGATGTGGCACCATATACACTGATACGTGGATACCAAACTACACAGTGAAACATTCAAGAATACTGTAATACTGATATTGCCTGGAGCATCTCAGATCTCGCTGGACCTGTGAAAGTTGTATTAGGAAATACCAATTTCAATAAACATTCACACAGTCCACTAGCCAGACAAATATGAGTATTACACTCACCAGGCTACTCCTTCAGGTCCTGGATATAGAAAGTGAACAAAAGGACTTGAAATTCATTATTCTTCACTTGGTATAGACAAGTGGGTTGGCTCAAATGTTCATATGCACATAATAAACTGTATGATTACAAAACTATTGGCATGGAGAGCTATGCAGACACAATCCAGCACTACACTATATTAATAAATAATGATAATAATAAACTGCATGAAAAATCATATCAGTTTCTCTAGGACACTATGCTATAGGAAACTAAACAATTCTGAATTAGCAAATTGTCTCTATCGGTTTCTTTATATGGATACAAAGAAGTATTACAGTCTTCGAGGATGTGACACCAGGAGATCTAGTACAGGTTTACTGTCTGCATCTGCTAGATTACATCACACCTAAGGAATTCGTAATCTTTCTGTCTGTAATGTGATGCCATGTAGTACATGTACATATTTACAGTCTACCAAACTACATGGCATTACATCCCAGAAGACTGTCACATCTGTAACTGCCACTGAGAGAACCTCATGTCTGAGAGAAATGAAAAGCTGCAGGTCACGAATGTGTTTCACTGGTTTCCATATTGCTTCTTACAAGTTAAAACTATGACTGGTACAACAGTCAGTGATGAACTGTGTCTTCTGATAAAGCCTCAAGTTATTTAATGATGTCTCAGCTCTAGAAGTTACAAAATGTTGAACAAAATAAAAAGATGGCGATGTTTCATATATATAAATCAAGAAATGTCACAAAAAATGCGAAACCTTTTTCCAGTAATAACAAAAAAAAAACTCAGTGGCCTGTAGTCCGCAACGAACTATACCGAAAGAGCGACCACCGCTTGTCAGTGAAGTCAGTGCCAACTTTAGCGGATAGAGAGTGTCATGTGGTCAGCGCAACGAATTCCCACAGCTGTGAATTTCGGTTTTCTAGAACAGAGCCGCTATTTCCTTGCTAAAGCTCCTCAGTTATCATCACAAGGCTGAGTGGACCCCGTTCCAAACCCCCTACTCCTCAGAAAATCTGGTACCACTGGGACCTCTTGATCTGTAGCCAGGAACTCTGACCACTAGACCACAGAGGCGGTCTCCTTTTCCAGCAATGATGACACAAAAGTACAAACTAGTGGTGTATGATAATTCAATTTATATTAGCATTACTTCTGCTTATATACAGAAAGTAACATTAAGTGAACTTTATTTGACTGATTTCTGGGACTGTCTCAAAAGTATTCAGTTTACAGTGCAGTGCACAGGTATATTCACTTGAGACATACCTCAGTGAGAATGGACTTGGGGCATTAAAATTAACAAAGTTTTACAGACAAAACTAAGAATTCAACTGTAGTCTGAAATTTTGCAAATACATAGTATATTCAGGTATATAGTCAGCAGCTGAAGTTTGAGATAGAGAAACAGTTTACTTTAATGTGACTATCGGATTGCTAGGATAAGTGTCTCTTTAAGTCCTGTTCATGATACCTCTCATCAAAAAGAAACTGAAATATTACTGAACCTAACTTAACATTCTATCACAATTTGACTTCTGCTGGAAGACTGGGAAAAGCACAGAAGATTCCTAATGCAATATATTACTTCACTTCTGAACTTTCATATATCACTGAATTTGGGGGGGGGGATGGCAGAGTTTATGGACAGTTTCAGCTTAGGTTACCTGATCAGTAGGAAAGAACCACTTTAAGGCTGGATTAAAAGTCCACAGCATCTGCCACATTTCAAGAGTTGTTATGACAACACTATAAAAATAACTCAGAATCTGACTTATGGAATATGATTAAATTGTTTCTTCAATGCCGATAAAAATATTAAATTATATATGAAAATTACAAGGTAGTGACAATCATTGCCTGCTGTCCCATTATTAATGAATATTGCATTTGTTTTGCAAATTCTTCTTCCAAGTAGGTCAACAGAAGTAAAATCCAGAGTGAAAAGATATAATCCACCACTTCCAAATGTTCTTTGCACTTTTTCATTGTGACATTTGTTTACAAATTTACTGACAACCAGTAACAAGTGAGCTACCACATTACATAATCATGTCACTTTTTATGTTTGGTATAAAAATAAATATGACTATCAACTGCAAGATCATTTTCTTTGGAGAATATTGTCAAAAACTGAGTTCTGAATAAAACAAAATTAAGTACAATAATACTGTCTAAAATTACACTGAGTGAAGCTATTTTCTTTTCCAGCAACTCTGATAACATCTGCAAACCTTTTAATCATAAGTCAGTATACAATATTTTGATATACTGTTATGCAGGTATAATCAAACGTACAACACCGAAATATGTCGAACTGCCATTCCATATGAAAGGTTATCAGACACGTTCACCAGTCACATGAAAAAGAATGATAAATTAATTATATTTTTTCCATATGGAATAATAAATTAAACACAGAAAAATCAACGCTTTTTATATTTTAGGCGATACACATATTTTTATATATACACTCTGGTGTCACAATCCTGCCATCACAACACAACTATATCAACTACTGGAATTACTGCAAGGTTAATGAACGCAATTTATATGCCTATACAACCAAGCATTTACTGTTAAACATAATACAACAACGCTAAACTTCAAATTTTCAATTACAAAAAAATAGTAAAAACTTTTAAAAAAGCCCATTAACAGTGCCATAAAATAAATCAACAAAAATTAAAGTATCTATTTAATTTCAATTATGACTGCTATTTGTAGTCCTGTTTTAATCTGACGCAGAATAAATAAGAGACCTGAAATCTGAACGTAAAAAGTTTTACAGTTGATTTCAACAAAAACACAAAATCAATAAATCGTACTGATGTCAATGCCAAAAGCCAATTTAATCACAAGCCACTACATTTCCTATATAACGTCGAGTGATCTATTATTCAAGATCACCGCCAACACTTTTCGGGCTGTGAACGGTTGCATACTGTATGGGAAAGTTCACGTAGTGTTAGGCCTAGCAAGTACATCCGTCGACCTACAGACACTCCCCGGGAAAAATCTACAAAAACACCACTCTTCACAACCTTAATATAACACAATCCCTCCCTTCCTTAAATCAATACCTGAGTTTGCGATACAATGTACTCATTAGCCACTTAACACCCAAAACGGGTTAACAAAAAATAATCACTTTTCTCGTCACTTGCCTTGCGGTTGTATGTCTGGAACAGGGAGATCACTACGGAGGAAAGCAGACAATAAATGTCGCCTAATGTCTTTTTCTCAGACACTATTTCCGAATATTACACCCTCCTCGCAGCAGTACATGCGTATAACAGTGTACAGACCCTTCACTTATTACGTACATTTCGGATGAAACCGACAACAGCTATTACAAAACCGTGGCTCGATAAAGCAACTAGGATTTTTAGGAGCGCTCTATACGAGCAACCTCAGCTTCCCCGGCTGCCATACTGCAAACTCCCAGGTCACGTGATCCAGCCCCTTTGTGCTCAGACTCGGAGGCGGTCGGGCTACACTCTGCTGCCGTTTACCGCGCTTCTGCCTTTCAACTAATTAGAATCAACTAACGAGGAAATTTATGAGGTTTGTACGTCGGGATTGACAATTTTCTTCTGTACACGTTTTTAATCGCATATACATTTCCTCCTGTTTGAGTTAGGCAGCAATACAATTAGGTATAGACGACAATCAGTTTTCTCTAAAATTTAAGATCGCGCAGGGTATAGGCTCGTGGAAGCTGCCGCGGGGAGAAAGCTAAGCATCTGTCCCCCACCCAATCTGAATTTTTGTAAAAAAATTCAAGCGGAAAGAGAAAGTAAGAAACCAAATATTAATTCAAAAAATGAAAGATATCCTATATCATAAATTCTCCAAGGTTATTAGTGAAGTCTTAAACTGCTTATATGTAGGTTTGTAAGCAAATTTTCTGGCGTTAGTTCTAACTCGTGCGTATCTAGAGCAAAAACCATCGGGAACCATTCTCTTTCTCCTGGAGGAGAGCACACTCCAAAACAGCAGATCTTTCTTATAGTTGTATTTGTTCGGTAGAAACTCGTGCCACAATTGCATGGACGTAACATATGGGAACGTATGGGAAATCCCATAGCGGAAACCGAAAAATTCCATCCATTACTATCTACTGTTAATTCCTATATCAGACTGTTAATACGAAATATTCGGTATTTTTTCTATTCTATGAGAATATACACGTTATAATTCTGCAGCTACTGAATATATCTGACTATTAAGAACACAAATTAGCATGCGTTATGATTGTTTGATTCTTTAAAGGTAAAGTTTACCATGTGCCTAGCTAATTAAGCACTACGCCATGGAGGCGTATGGGGGATTGGATGTATAGATCTACATTTTGCTCTCGAACTATATAGATTAAAAATTAGCATGCGTTACGATTGTTTGATTCTTGATGTATAGATCTACATTTCTCTTGACCTCGGCACTAGCTGGAGGTGAGTGGTCAGCTTCACGCCCAGACCACTTTACCCCCGGGAAAGGCGCTCCCGGTACCCATTGGATAGATGGCATCGGAAGCAGTGTTTTGTAGGGGGTCCGTGCCGACTATGTATATATAAATAAAACGACGACCAGCTTTGGCTAGCAGCAAACAACCTCCCCGTCGTACGTGGAGTGCGGGGGCGTTACATGCACATGGAATGCCAGGAAAAAGACATACTGCAATTGCAAGTTGGTGGACGGAGGTGAACCTCTTCCCTTCAACTGTCGAGGCTGCAGATGCCTCAGCCGTCCTCAGCTGCACAGACGTGCCCCGCCACAGTGGGAGAAATGAGTGCCCCCCCCCCTCACTTGGGGCACAACCAACAAGTACAACATAACTTTGACTTTCGCTTTGTGTGTAACGTTATAAATGATGCCCTGCCGCTCTGTTCGCGGACCATACCTTCATATACACGACAGAGCAACACGAACGTCGTGTTCTGTGCAAACTGCAGCGCGGCCTCACTGCAGTGAATTCGTGTTATGAGCGCTGGAACATAAAGATCTATGAAGAGAAACTAAGACGATCTATTTCTCCAGAAGACGTAGAGTCCCTGACGACGTACTATGACTAAACGGATGAGACATTTCCTTCGTAAATAACGCAGCATATCTTTGTGTCACTTTCGAAATGAGGATTACATGGATACACCACATCGAAAGGCCTGTAGCCAAGGCCTTGCGCACGCACACGAGGACCTATTCTCTATTCAAAAATGGGCGTTTAAAAGAAATATTAGAAGTACGCTTTACAAAGCTCTGATTAGGTCAATTATGACTTATGCCTGTCCCATCTGGGAGTATGAGGCGGACGCTCACCTCTTGAAAAGGCAGCGCCTGCAGAACAGAGAACTCCGCGCTATTGGAAATCTTGACAGGTGCACACCAATCCGCGAATTACACACGGCTTTCAAAATTTCTTACGTGTATGACTATATAACTGAATTATGCAGGATACAGGCGGAAGTAATCCTAAACCATGTAAATCGAAATGTACGTGCTATTGGACAAGGAGAAGCTAGACATAGGAAGTATAAGAGGCTTAAACTTGGCGGCGGTCAGGCCTACGACCGTTCAGCTGACTAACTGCAGTGTCATCGGTGTAGTTAAAAGCCTGCATTTACAGGAAACCTCTGTATACCCTGCGTAAGTGTTACTTATTACAGTGCAGTGACAAAGTGTGCATATAATCCATAGCGACCTGGACGCTGTGACAACGCGGATATACTCGTGCTGAAACCGCGGTGCAACAAACGTAGGGCTTACATAAGGAAATCGACCCCCTCCTTCATCTAAAATTAAGCTCGAAACATGTACATGCCTAAGAATAATAATCTTGCTTATGGATCTCGAGGAGGCTGAAGCCAGGAATGACTGTGCTGGCGAAGGCCAGCAGCAATTTAGCCCGCCAACCCGTGTAGCGTTTTAATATGTTAAAGCAGGTGGTAAGGTGGTACATATAGTAACCACCTTGTTTTAAACTGTTAATATGTATATGGAAGAGCACATTCAATACGCTAGTCAAAGATGGCGCAGGAGTAGTCTCCTGCTTTTTGTCTCATTAACGGGTTTGATCGGTGATAATCATAATAGTCCATGTTCGTACAACAAACTTTAATTGTAGTCCCAGAGGTGGCTGAGAAGTTCTTGGTAATATCTTAGCAGTAAGGTGTAGGAATTAGTTTGAGGTATAGGCGGGAGAAATTATATTATCAGTTGAATAGTTTCCTCTCTTTGGCCCTTGCACTTTGTTCGTGTTGGAGATATATCACAAGGAAAGTTATGCTTTTGTTTTCCGTTGGATGGCTATAGAACAGCGAATTCAGAGTTACAGTCATAAAACCAATGTGCTGAATGTGGAGGCATCGTAAACAAAATGTTCAGATTGTCTTAGACAGTCGGACGAAGATAAAAGTGAATGAAGGAGAAAGACACAGGAGGAGGGTAGAAATCTGGAAGCTCTGTAAGAAGTCAGTCTGCTTCCACATCGCCCGGGAAAGACTAATATATATGAATCATATTCAGTAATTTAACCAACTCGAGGTCGGTCAGTAATAATAACAATATTGTATATAAAATATTTGCTTTACTCTTCGTTGATTATGTATTATACATTCTCATTATTCTGACGATGTTTTATGTTAATGATGTAGTGTAGTGGCCAGAGTTTCTGGCTACAGATCCAGAGGTCCAGGGTTCGATTCACGGCGCTACCAGCTTTTCTGAGAAGTAGTGGGTCTGAAACGAAGTCCACTCAACCTCATGAGGATAACAGAGGAGCTATTTCAAGGAAATAGCGGCTCCGGTATAGAAAACCGAGATTAATGACCGCGAGGAACCGTTGCGCTGACCACGTGACAACCTTTATCCGCTAAAGTTGGCAATAACTTCGCCGACAAGCGGTGGTCGCTCGGTCGGTATAGTTCGCTTGCGGACTACAGGCCACGGAGTTTTTTATGTTTTTAAATGTCAAATTGTGATCTTTAAGTAGATTGCTAACATGTGACGAGCCGGGGAATAAAGTAAATAGTGCAAAATTCATTGCACGAGTGTCATTATATCTGATGAGCGCGATTCAAATAAATTAGGCCTTTTGGATGTCATATAATGGTTTCCAGCAGGTGTGAGCAACATGGGACCTGTGAATCTGATTGATCAACGAAAAAGTCAGTTTACCCCTTACATAGATCAGATACGTTAATAACAAGCAGATTTTTCTCTCACGTTACTTGTATAGATAGACATACAAGAAATTTTGTAAACAAATAAATACTTACTTACTCATGGAGCTCTGCCCTTCTTGAGGAGAAGCCAAATCTGCAGCTACTGAAGAATTTTCCAGCATTTTATGGAACCCGAAGGTTCATTACCGTGTTCACAAAAAAGCCCTCCACTGGTCTCTACCCTGAGCCAGATCAATCCAATCCATACCATCCCATCCTATTTCTCTAAGATCCATATTAATATCATAACACTACAGGATGCATGAAATGAATATTTTAATATTGTTCACCCACCTACGCCTTGGTCTTCCCAAGTGATCTCTTTCCTTCTGGCTTTTCCACCAGTATTCTATATGAATTCGTTTTCTCCCCCATTCCTGCAACATGCCCTGCCCACCTCATCCTCCTTGTCCTAATAAACAAATGAAAAATAATTTTCTTTTTTTTTTACAAAAGGAAATCTTTTAGGAATTTCCAATATATACCTGCACTAGTTTACATGCAGTTTAATACTTTAAATTCCAGTGGTTAGTGTACGTACCTCCTGCTTTAATATAATAAAGCTCTGCATTATCCCCACAGAGTGTATTCATGTGTTTCTTATGGTTCCCAAAATAAACAGCCACTGTTTCCCTAAACAGAATAACCTGGTTAATCTTCGTAGCGGAGACGTAGTAAATTAAATTGTTATAAAGAATGCCGTCTTCTGGGATGTGGCGCCGTGTATATCTTGTGTGAACCGACGTTTTGGAGACACGTAGCATCTCAATCTTCAGGGTAGAAAAATCCGCGAGCGAGGAACCAGCTTGGTCTAGTGGCTGCTTATTATACAGTTCGTTCTTAAAGGGTTAATGCATGTCTTAACATCTTGAGAACACCAAGCAGATTCAGGATATCGTAGACCCTGTACGAATTAACTAAATAACATGGCGCTCACAGTGAACCGTGCTAGGAAAAGCGATGACCAACTAACTTTGATATTGCAATTAATAATGCAAAAGTGACATGGTTGCCGTAAGTAGGATGTACTTCACAAAGGGAAATTTATATTTTCAGTTAAATTATTCAAGTTGGTAAGGTTGTTCCATAGTTCGGAAACAAAAGACCATAAATTTTACTTCGATTAGACTATCCAATATATACATAGCCGTCATCACAAGCTTTACCGCTTTGTTTCTGTTTTAGAGTTCCCACTATGTGTATCAAAATATTAAAACGTTATCAGAGGT